TCAATCCCTCTGGTGACCTGGATGTCGTCGAAGGTCTGCTGTACCTCTTCACTCTGGGCTTCATCTGTGACGAGGCGAACAAGTTCTGGAAGGTCGGACGCTTCTACATCTCCTTCTGGAACATGTTCAACAGCACTCTGTATTCGCTTCTCACGGTCAGCTTCGTCTTGCGCATGGTGGCTCTTGGACATCCTATCAGCGACGAGAAGGACACTCGACGCGAGTACCTGAACAAGATGAGCTACGACTTCTTGGCTTTCACAGCGCCCATGTTCTGGATGCGTCTGTTGCTTTACCTCGACACCTTCCGCTTCTTCGGTGCTATGCTCGTTGTGCTCAAGGTTATGATGCGCGAGTCGCTCATCTTCTTCATGCTACTGCTTGTCGTCATGATTGGTTTCTTCCAGGCCTTCATCGGTCTGGACATCGCGGACGATCAGCTTGCTAACGACACTGTCTTCGTGTTCCAAGCCATGTTGAACGCTGTCATGCAATCGCCTGAGTTTGAAGGTTTCGACAACTTCTCGGTAGGTCGCATCATATGGGATTAAACTTAGGCACGAGCTAACAAGTAGTAGCCTCCCTTCGGTATCATTCTTTACTACATCTTTACCTTCGTCGTCATGGTCATCCTGCTCAACGTCCTCATCGCTCTCTACAACTCAGCCTACGAAGACATTACACAGAACGCTATCGACGAGTACATGGCTCTCTTCTCGCAGAAGACTATGCAATTCGTTCGTGCTCCCGACGAGAATGTCTTCATCGCTCCGTTCAATCTCATCGAGATGTTCTTCTTGATTCTGCCATTCGAGTGGTGGATGGATGAGAAGCGCTACGACAAGCTCAACGATATGGTACGTGATACCTCCTCGCATAGGCCCTCGCTTCCGCTGTTTATATGATGATTTCTATGTATTTGCTACTTCAGAGCTTCGGCTATGAGACAATTATCACCTAGTACTGATTACAGCATTCTTTCACAATCCATATCCAGAACGATCTAGTTGCACAGAAAGCTGACACAAAATAGGTCATGGCAGTAATCTACTCACCCCTCCTCGTAATCACCGCCATGTTCGAACAACAAGAAGCCTGGGTCGTCCGAGACAACCGCCGCCGCGGCGAAGACGACGAAGACACAACCATGGAGTGGGAACAAGTCCTTGACGGCTGTGACTTTGAAGCCGACGGCTGGGACAAGAAGGTCCAGGCTTCGCGCCCTAACGTCGAGTTCGACACTGCGGTGTTGGAAGTCAGGCAGCTGAGGAAAGAAGTCAGCGAACTAAAGGACATGATGAAGATGCTCATCGAGGGCAAGAAGGAAGGCTGGGGCGGAGACACACTCGGCGAGAGCGGTCTAGCGAAGCTCGACGCAAGCAAACTGGGCATGCAGGGCGAGAGCAGCGAAAACGGGGGCGGAAGGGATGAGTAAGTGCGATTTGCTTTGTGTCTCGCTGTCACCAGTGCTCTTTTGTGTTTCCGCTGTTTCTATCTTGTTCGAGTGCTGGTGTGTTGACTTTCTGGTTGTGTAGGCGCTATAGGAGCGAGTTTGGAGAGAGCCAGGCGAGTGACTGGCACTCTGATTGAGAGTGCAGCGTCGCTCTCCTGCTCCTCTTCTTCTTGCTCGAGTACATATTACGGAATGTTACGCGATACGATACGATATACGATATACGACACTAGGCGATGCGATGCGATGCGATCCTTTGGTTATATACCCCTCCTTTACAACAAAATGTCATATCTACTTTGATGCACGAATATGCTCATTCCTCAATGTCCTTGAATGTTCTTACTACACGCTGTTGAGAAATTATCATTTGCTTGTTCTCTTCTGAAATGAAGTTGCTGGCTTGTGCCCATTGTCGGTGCTGACAGGGACGCGTGGCTCCACCAATCAAACGCGCCTCGGCATCTCCCCACGTGTACCCCCTTTTGATCTAGCCCACACACATGTGTTATCTGCTACGTAGGTACCCGCTTTCCCAGTTCCAGGTTCTCTCCTGCTCCTTTGAGGGGACGCTTGATGGTTCATTATGCCGTTCCGCCCGGTGCGGTTGCACTGCCACAAGGCTTATGTACCTGTCAAGGGGGTCTGGATGGGCCCGAGCCACAGGTGTCCCTTTAAGTACCGTGGGAGCTCGCTGTTTCTGTTTGGGGACTTCACACGATAGCGACTTTGTGTATTATTTGATTTGACCGAACGACAGGTGTTGACTGAGGTCTTTGCTTTAATTGCGAGCAGACGCAAGAGGTGGACATACGAGTACAAGGATGCGCATCGCCCTCGTTGACGGTTCCTCATTTACGCCTTTCTTGTCTCCTTTCTCTTTATCTCCTTGATCAACCCGTTGGACTCCAGGAAGAAAACCCTCCAACAATACCTTCAGGATCTCAATCCCCCGCCAACATGTCAACAACCTACCTAACCCCCCTCACAACAAACACCCCAACCAAACGCTCCGTCTCCGCGCCCCCGGCGCCAAGCCGCACACTCTACACCTTCCAAGAAGTCCACCCTTGGCAACGCGACAACGAGTACCTCAAAAACCATTATCGTTGCACCACCAATTCCTACCGCGAATGTCTGAAGAGTTTGTCGTATCTGCACAACCAGACTGGAAATATTTACACGCATCTCATCGGCGCTGTCTTTATCCTCTTCTACGCCATCTACGCCTACAGCAATATTAGCAGCCGTTATGAGACTGCTGATATCAATGATTTGCTGGCTTTTGGGGTTTTCGTTGGTAGTGCGGTCGTGTGTTTCGGCGTTAGTGCTACGTTCCACATGTTTGGCAATCACTCGAGCAAAGTGTATCATACGTGGTTGCAACTGGATCTTTACGGCATCTTCGTGCTGATCGTTGGCACGGTGTATTCGGGCACGTACTATGGGTTTTACTGCCAGAAACAATACTGGGTGTTGTATTCCGCTGGGATTACTTCGATTGTCACGGGTGCGGCAACGCTTTGTTCGATACCGCGGTTCCGCACGCCGAAATGGAGGTGGGCGAGGGCGACGCTGTTTTGTGCGATTGGCTGGTCGGGGGCGGTGCCGATGACGCATGCGGCTCAGGCGTTTGGCAAGGAGCAGGCGGATAGGCAGATGGGGTGGCGGTTGATGATCTTTGAGGGGCTGTTTTATATTACGGGGGCTTTTATCTATGCGGTAAGTCTTTTCAGGACCACATTCGGTTGGAGTGAACATTACTGACATTTTGCAACAGATCCGCTTCCCGGAGAGATTTCGCCCGGGACTTTTCGATATCTGGGGTTGCTCACATCAGATCTTTCATCTTTGTGCTGTTGGGGGTGCGGCGCTGCATTTGGTGGCGCTGCTGAAGGCGTTTGATTATAATCATGATCCGGCGACGCGGATATGCTGAGGGTACCCCCTTTGGAGCTATCGAGCAAACGACTACTTTACCAATGCACACTGCATGTTCAAGACTTCATCTTCTCATTTATTCCCAATGCTCGACCTGAATAACGACCTTTGTCGCCCTCTCAGCTTGTCCGTCGGTCAGGGTCTCTAAGCTACCCATTGTCAGCCCACGTGCACTGATTCCAAGAGCCAGGGGCCAGCAGAGTTCATCGACCCCGCCCTTGACCCCACCGGCGGAGACACTCCTGAAAGATCGAGCATCGTCTCAACACCCTCATTCACCTCCGGCGAGGTTGAAGATATGTCCGCGGAGAACAAGACGACCGTCATCGTAGGCGCGGGATCCATTGGTCTGTGGACTGCCTATCATCTCGCGCACGCAAATCGTCGAACCGGTCTCTCGAGCAGCAGCACCATTATCGTCATAGAAGCATCAGCGAGCGCATTCGGAGAGACGTCCGGGACCTGTACAGGATGCATCCACTACAAATTCAACGATAAGATCATGGAGCAGTTTGGGAAGTACAGTTTCGCAGCTTGGCGTGATTTAGCAGAAAGTACCGAGCTGTGTGATACTGCTGGACTCCGCTTCCATTCCATCTTCGGGTTGACCAAGAACGATGGAGATGGTCAAGAGCTTTTGCCGGACTGGCTTCGAACGAGCGATGCGTGGGGGGTCGACACCGAGTTCTTGGGGGCAAACAACGCGATGGTGTAAGCATGCTTGTTGTACATGCATCACCTTCTTATGCTGATCAAGTTTGTTGCAGCAACCCAGTTGGCCTCGGCAAATGGCTTGAAAGAGCATGTATTGACATGCATGTTCGCATTGAGACATCTACAAGAGTCACTGCCGTCGAGTTGAACCAAGAAAACCGAGCCACTGCAGTAATCGTTGTTCGAGAAGACTCATCCTCAGTCAGAATCCCATGCGACAACTTCGTTCTAGCCGGGGGTCCATGGACTCCGATGGTCCACAAAACACTGTTTCCCTCGTCTTCAATCCAAATCGACTCCGCCACAGAGGCAGGTGACTGGATCGTCTTCCGAAATCCGAATCCTGCTGCGAAGAAGTCAGTAGCTTTTGTCGGCCTGAATGATATCGTGGGGGAAAAGTTGGAGTTCGCAGGTCGCAACGACGGCACGATCTGGGTTTGCGGAGCAAAAGATGAGAAGGGCACGCTACCTGCATTAGGCTCGAGAGGTCCGCCAGATGCTGCAAAGATTGCGGAACTCACAGGTCGCGCCTACCGTTTTCTTCGCCTTCACAGCGCTGACGATGCAGATGCGTTCAAGGAGCTAGAGGTTGTGGCGCTTGGACGGGCGTTTCGACCTGTTACGCGCTCGGGGCGCCCGATGATGGCTATGGTCGAGTCTGATAAACTCTCGCATCATAGCGGTCTTCAGGCAGATGGAAGACGTGGTAATGTGTTTTTGTGCTGGGGGCATGGGTCTTGGGGACTGACACTCGGACCGGGCACGGGGAAGTTGATGAGTCAACTGATTCTAGGTGGATCGACAGATCTCGATCTTTCACCATTTCAGATTCCAGAGACTACGTAGGATACGACTCGGAAATGCACCCACGTCAATGATCCCAATAGAACACCTAAGTGCGATAAACTTCACCTTCACTGAACTTCAACGCTCGCCATGCCAGCTCAGCTGCGCCTCTTGCAGCTTTGAAGCTAGGGTTCTCTTCTAACATTTCAGCTTTTGCGCCTAGCGCCTCGATGACACGTTTCGTAACCCTCCGAGCTTTCCCATCGCTGAGACTTTCGGGACTACCCGTCATCATCACAGTAATTGAATCGGGAGGATGAGGCGTCGGGTAATAATACTGGTGATACAAGAAACTTAGGACAAAATCTTGTATGTCCAGTTCGTCAGGCTCACCACCACTACCTAAGTCGAATGAGGTTGCAAGATCCATATACGGGTCCGATATCTCGATCGATTCCCGAAGGATGTCGCGGTGTAGAAGAAGCGCGGACTCAGTGTGTTCGACCAGTAGCGTATGGCGAGATGTGAGGTTCCTCCCCTCTTCACGACATTTCTCTTCGTTGTGGTAGTCTTTACAGAGACCCAGACCGTTTCCTGCGTATGCGGCGACGTCTTCGTGTGGATGAGATGCTTCTAGCCAAGGGCCCAACTTCGCGAGGCCGACATAGCTCGCCGCATCCGCGATGTCTTCTTGATAAAGACCTGGTAATGCCGGAAAGCTGATCAAGGCTGACAGCGGGGAGCCAGCATACGTTTCGGCTACTTCGATCACGGGCTTCAGGGCCTTGGCTATGATGCCCACTTCGCTCGATGCCGGGAGGCCGAGTTTCTTTCGCATGGATCGTTTTGCTTGGCGGGGCCAGTCATCAAAAATGTCCTTGAGACTGTGGTATGGAGGGCTGTTACCGGTCTTAGTAGTCGCTCAGATTGCCACTAGGCTACTTGCAATGGGAGCCATACCTTGGGTGTTGAGACGACGGGTGTGAGAAATGCCGTATGAGTTCGATGTACTCTTCGGACGCTTTTAGCTCTACCAAATCTTCCGTTGAGACATTGTTCCAACGAACAGATGCGACGATGTGGTCTACGGTTAGGGCGAAGCCAACCGTCGGCCGGTTGGATACTGTCTCGTCTAAGGATAGGATGGTCTGAGTGCAGGCGACTAGCCAGGGCGATAAAGCGAATGCGAGGATGAGGCATGACATCTTCGCCATGATAGTGATTGCTACGCTTCAGTGAGTTGGGGCAGTATCACAGCATATGAGAAGGTCTTTAGGCAACGATGATGTGCTCATGTGGCACAGTACCATCGGTGAGCGTGCTTCGCCCCTGATGTTTCAGTGCAAGAGCGGGGTTGGCTTGCTCAAGGCTGCGCAGTGTTTCTGTGCCGCTTTTCCATCGAAGCCGCGCAAATTGTGTAGTGTATTGGCGCGATCTGGTGTTGACTGTATAGCGCTTCGATGCTAAACTTGCGGTCAATACTCAACTCTGGAAACTGTTCGACAACTAGATCTTTCTAGATGCACTTGGTACAAACATCACAATATCTTCAGTTTGCAATAGTTCTTGTTTGAGATGGCTCAAATAGATTGATGTTGTTTGGACTTCGAAATCGGGAATGGCTCGTTCATGGTAGGTCGCCGCAGTACATGAACGTCACAACTCCATTCTTTCTTCGTGATCCAGCGCTCGCCACGCCATCTCCGCTGCTCCCCTTGCTGCGATATAGGCTGAATTATCAGCCAGAACTTCGGCATGCGCCCCAAGTGCTTCAAGCACAGTCTTCGTCGCTCGTTGCACCTTGCCGTCACCGACGCTTTCCGCATCACCCACCAAGATGACGGTCATGTCCGGTGGTCCTCTCCCTAATCGCTCGTTGTAGTGATGGTACAGAAAATGTAGCACGCTATTGCGAACGTCCTGCTCTTCCGGCGTTCGAGAGCTACCTAGGTCGAATTGCAGGTTAAGGTACATATTCGGCCATGACAGTTCGACTGCTCCGTTCAGACCTTCCAAGTGCAACAGCAGTGCGGTTTCCGTGTATTCAGCCAGCAGCACGGTACGGGTTGTGAAACTGTCTCCGTCGTCCGGCACGCATCGTTTTACGGGGTTGTAGCTCTTGCACAGGTCGTATCCGTGACCCGCGTATGCAGCGATGAGTTCGTGAGGATGACGCGCGAGGCCTTTTGCTAATCCTTCAAGACCAACGTAATAGGCGGCATCGACTATATCCTCCTGATATAGGCCAGGCAGAGCAGGGAAGCTCACTAGAGCGGAAACGGAAGCGCCCACAGATGCTTCAGCAACGTCTTTGATGGCTTTGAGCAATGCCGCAATTACAGCCACGTCATTGGAAGCAGGAAGTCCTTTCTTCTTGCGTGCGTCTCGTTCTCTTTGACGAGGGATATCGTTCCATAAGTCACCGAGTGATGCATATGGTGGGCTTGGGTGAGAATCAGCTTTTTGTCTTGAGCGTATGATCTGACAAGAAAACACACCTAGGATGCTGAGAGGACCACAACGAGAACCTTTGCATCAACTTGATGTATTCCTCCGAAGCTTCGACTTTGACCAGGTCCTCAAAGAACGTGCTGTTGTGGCGAATTGTGGCAGTGGCATGGTCGACCGTGAGTGCAAAACCGACGGTGAGAGTGTCTGCTGATGTTGCGCGGTAGGCTGAGGAGAAAAGTGACCAGCAGACTATAGCGCATATCATGAACAGATGGAAGTTGGGAGACATGACTGTGAAATAAGTTAGAAGCCCCGATGGATAGCGAGAGGGAGAGCCAAACAGTAGTGTGAGCTAAGTGGGCTCGCTGTTCCTTCTCAGCAGCGTTGTGAGATCTGGGGCGTGTTTGATCCAAAGTGATAGTCGCAGTGCCTCTGCGGCGCGGTGCCAGGGACCATTGTGCCGAGATCGATGCAACACTCTCGATGGGATGAGCGGCCCCCAATGTCTCAAGCAGTATTGCTATAGATTACTGTTTCTGTGCCGCAGGGCAGCCCCAAAGTTCTGGCCCCAGTTCCCACTACGGTTGATTGACGTTGGTGACGGCCCCGGGGCCTGAGATGGCACGGTGGCACCTTCTGGAGATTTGGAGCTAGCGTCTTGGCAGGGTCATGCCGTCATAGGTAACCCAACTGCATGCTTGCAGAAGGTCTGCGCTTACATTTGTTTTCACTCGGAACGAGAACTCGACCTCCTTTGCGCCCCTGCCCAAGTTGCGACCGCTTCTATTCATGCAACACGCATACCTGTCAAGATACATGGTGCAGGAGCCTTTCGTCCCTGCCGCTTTCCCGAATGGACGGTCCGTCTGACCAGATTCTCGAGCGTTACGTCAATACATGCTTCCTTAACACATACGCAGCGACCGAGCATATGATGCCCCCTTCAACCAGCGGCCAACCAAATCGAAAGAAAATAATAGATTGTGATGCCGATGCGATTTTCGGTATCACGGCAATGGTTATGATAGTGGCTGATAGCCCTGCGCTGTCAACGACCGCAACCTTTTCGGAATGTCCTAGCCACCACAGGACGGCCATACCGGTATCACGCGAAAGTCGCACATACCGTAAGCACACAGTACCGAGGAGTCTCATTTCATTAACTGTCTTCATTATGAAACGCTGACAACGCCGTATGCGATGTCGAGAAGAGGCGAGCGTGTTCCACAAGGTTGGGGCCATCGACTAGACCAAGATTCACTCTCGGGCTTGATAGAAGGCCACCGAATCCCGTGGACAGTATGGCTTCACCCTCATCACGAATTATCGCTCGTATACAAGCCATGGACTTGACAACGTCAATACACTGTGGTAGACACTTCCGGAGATGCCGCAGTGATTCGCTATGCAGCCCGCGCAATGATCGATGAGTGTCGGAGAAGCAGCGCATGGCAGACGACGTCAGTGTGCCGCGTTCCTACCTTCAGATGTCTAGGTAGGTAGTTCAAAGTAATGGCCCCTTCTGTTCCACTGCCGTGCCGCGATCAGTGTTTGAAAAGCACGATCTGCGGTCTTTGCCGACTTCACCACTGGCAGCAGGCAGTCCAGTGGCACAGCGACTCGAGACCGGGTCAGCTTTATGGGCTTTCACAGTCCCATGTGTCTCAGCTTCAAACAAGGTAATTCGTTCATACTTGCGAACCACGCCGTGACATGGAGCTCGTTTCTAGAAGCTCGTGGGGGCATGTTTGCATATAAAGCAACATGTCGGGGAGCATGTAGCCATCTACAGTGTTTTTCATCATTGATTTACACAGAAATCACCCACGATGCGCATTCAAGAGCTTCTAGTCTTAGCGGTAGCTTTGCAACCTTCCTTGACCGCCCTTATAGGCCATCGCTTCTATCCCCGGGACGGTTTTCAGGTCGACCGTTATGCAGCGCTCGGAGACTCATTCGCTGCTGGTCCAGGTGCTGGCCCCCAATACGACCATGGTAGAGAGACCTGGTGCCATCGCCATGAAGGTTCTTGGACTCGTCAGGTCGCAGCTGATGATATACTACGCAAAGGCAGAGACACCATAGATGGATTCGGCTTCGTTGCTTGCACGGGAGCCCTGACCAAGCACGTTTTCAAAGAACCACAGGCTGAAGACTCAAACGATTCCGGTGACCCCGTCCCAACACCAATTCCGCAAGCCCAGCGCATCAACGGGTTCTATCCACAACTTGTTACGTTATCGATCGGCGGAAATGACGTTGGGTTCAGCGACCTGCTTGACCAAGTAAGTCTGCAACCTCTCGTTAAAACCTCTTTGTATTGACGTATAACAAAGTGTATCTATCGCTTCCGCCATGTGGGATGCGGCGGGTGTAGCCCTTCACCACCGTTCAATGACTGCTCGGATCAGTGCCAGACAGCGATGAACGACGTACAAAAGAAGATTGATGGTATCGATGGAACATTTGTCGATGAATTCCCACAGGCTATCAAGACAATTTTCGACAACGCCCCCGGAACACATCTGTTCATTACTGGATATCCGCGTTTCTTCAATCCGGATACCGAATACTGCAGCAAAGTCAGTTTCAAATCCTTTTGCAGAGACAACAAGACCTTGCCACTTACGAAAGACCGGCGAACGCAGATGAACAGTCTGACTCTCAGACTCAACAAGAAAATACAGTCCATCATTGATGCAAGCCAGCCTGAAAGTGGGAAGATAACATACGTTGATACAGATCCGTACTTCGATGGGCACCGCTTCTGTGAAGAGGGCGTCGAAGAACCAAGCTATCGAAACAAGAACATTTGGTTCTTTCCTTTTGAGTTCTTTACCAACGGAGCGACGAACTTTACTGTTAGCGATACTACCCCCTCCGGTAACTGCCAAGCTAGCATCGACAGTGGTAGAGGGCCCGGTGACTATTTCACCTGTCTAATCGCAAACGAGGTGCTCAACGGAGCTTCAATTGATCTTGCGGATCAGCCGAATAACGTCGCGACCGATGATCCAGACGAGCCAACTGTGGAGTGGCTCCCGCTTGCGCTTTTACGTACTTTTCACCCTACCATTCAAGGCCACGAGGCCTACAAGAATGCATTCTTTGCTGCGTACCAAGGTCTCGAGGGCACTGCAACACCTACATCCGAGCTCTCCTGCAATGACTTGGAGAACAAGTACGTTGCGAAAGACGCGCTCCTTGATCTTATCGACAACACCTACTGTCCCAAGCTGGAGGGTGCTACTGGCTCTATCGGTACAGGGCATTATTTTTCAAGTACCCCCGAGGCAGTCGAAATCGGCGTCACCAGCAGACTCACCGCAGGGCCTGTACCTACCGTGGAGGAATGCAAGACAAATCTTCACAAGATATTAGACGAGTGCAACAACGACCGATGGAAAAACCCAGTGGGCTGGAAGGCTGGTGGAGAGTTCGAGATCAACGGCTGGAGATTCACCATCACACCCACGGGCCAGCGGCCCTCCACACCGAAAGCATGGTGCAAGATCGAGAACTGCCAAAACGGAGAGAAGTGCACCGCATCTATCTGGGGGGCGGGATGGCTCAGGAACGACTACGGCGAAAAGCTGCGCACGGCCTTCGCAGCCCAACAGGCCGTGTACAGCGAATTGAGATACGAAAATTCCCTCGGCGACAGCAAAGGTATCGATATGAGCCAATGGGATTTCAAGTACGAAGCTTTGGATGAACACGAGTGGCATGCGAGTCTCTTCTTGGATCTGGGTCTTCGCTTGCCTTACAAGCAAACCGTTACCGATGCTTTGCGATCTGCCGCTGGTGACGGTCTTGAGATCGGTAATGGCGGCGATTGCGAGTCAGAAGTTAACTACTAAGTGGCTGCTTGATCTTGAGGGGTTTCTTTGCGCACCGACCATTTTTCTGTCGCTTCTGTCATCGATTTCCTATCAGCTCCCGTATCGACGTTACCTGTTTCTCCGGTCGCTGGCGGCCGATGTCTTGACTGAACGACATGCGAAACTTCGCGCTCACTTGGTGCGTCTTTTATTTTCGTATTTAACGATGTAACATTTCCGTATCCCAGTAGAACAAAATTACAACTTGCTCGGTCGATCACTCCGTCCCGTGACTCCAGTATCCTGCCACACCTTCGCATGTTCGAGATCGCCGAAAAGGCTCAACAAGAGCGCCTTCATCTCATTCTTGACACTGCAGGAGCTTAGTAAAGTTTCTCTCAACTGTATGGAAAGATCTTACAATTCACGGTACTTGAGCTCTCCAGGGTATAGTGCCGAGGAGCAGAGATTGAACCTTCTATGAAGCCATCAGCTGAGCTCGACTGAACAAACTATGCTGCATTAGCGAGACTTACATGCAATACAAAGCGTTCCTGTCTTCAAAGTCCTCTTTAGGCTCCGAAGCCGGGTAGTGCTTGAGGTATTCGGCTATATAGGCTCCACTGATCTTGTGACGCTTTAGTCGCCATGGAGCTAGCTCATCTAAGATCCGATGGATACGGTCAGTGTCTGCCAAACCGCAAGCTCATGATGCTTACACTCGTGATGCGCATACGACGAGCACGCGTCGAAGATCACTGGCTTCCGCGTCTCTCTGTCAACTCCGGTATTGCCATCCCAAAGATCACCATGCATCAAGCATGCTGAAATACTCCTTCCCTCGGTCTCTAGAGGCCGCAACAATCGCGGTATCGCTTTGTTCACGACCAATGTGCGCAGCTGTATCATGTCTTCTTCATGGCCATGCTGCCCTTCTTCAAGATCGAACATCCGCTGTATGCCACGTGTAAAGCTCTCTTCCCAAGTATCGCAAAAGGTGGTGTCTTGAGGAAGTCTACCCCCGTATGTCGTGACGGGAAAGCCGAATCTTCCTGTTGGGGAAAGCGCGGTTTTGTGAAGGCGGGCGATCTGGCCAGTGAAGTCACTAATGCGTTGGAGCTCTTTACTTGATCTACTGTGAGATTCTTCACTGTGGTCAACTGCGGTGGATGCCTCGCCAGGTACTTCTCCAGTCATCTCGCGGAATGCGCATATGAAGACGTAAGTGTTCGCATCTTTTGTGTAGGTACCCCAACCGATCGGCTGCGGGACGAGATCTGGCATGTTTTCGTAAAGGGCTGACATTGAAGTAAACTCCCCAAGCATCATACCCTTACCTACATCGCCACAGGAGACCTGGATGGCGGTTAGGCTTAGCAAGAATTACCATGCATTAGGTTACCGACCTTCAGAAAATATGAGACTGCTTCGCCGATTGTATTCAGTGTGTGGATCCGAGCAGTTTGGTTCCAATTCGAGAAGCCATGAGGTGATATCCTTTTGATCTTAGACCCAGCAGGAAGCACTGATACTCACATTAGCAGCGTAGACGAGATCAAATGCCCTGTCAACTCACATGCTGCGACGCGGGGATCAACGTATGAGATCACCGTGCGGGGCACGACGGTCTTGATGCGCACGACCTCTGTATCAGCCATGACCCGAGCAACAATGCGCATGCAAAACCGGTGATAGCCAGCAGCAAAACGATGCGGAAACCGATAGTTCAAGTGTACAAGATGTGGCGAGTGCCAATACGGGAGTCATCGTTGGTGTAACATCCAACAGCGAACTTGACCCTTGCTTATCACAGTGCCACTTGAGTGCATGAGCCTAGCGATATGGCACTCTAACCGAACACACCACCACTTCCCGTCCTTGAATCTTAGCAACAACGACAGCAAAAACACGCGTCGAGATGGGCGAACCGGATGCAGTATCAGCGCCATCGTTCACCATCTTCACTAGCCGTCAGCGCACTTACTTCACCTACCTCCTCGGCTACTTGACGCTCGCTTCGTCCTTGACGGCTACAATCTACCTGCCGCTGATCGAGAGCCTAAGCAGGCAGTACAATGCGTCCATATTCGCGATCGATCTGACCATAACGCTTTATCTCGTCTTCCAGGCAATCTCACCAGCTTTCTTCGGCCCATTGTCAGATTCACTTGGTCGCCGCCCAGTCTTCTTGATGACCTTTGCGATATATCTCGCAGCAAGCCTGGGCCTGGCTTTTAATAAGAAGAGCTACGCCGCACTACTAGTCCTTCGGTCCTTGCAGAGCATTGGAGGTTCGGCAGTGATGTCGCTAGCTTACGCGGTCGTCGCCGATATCTCTTTGCCTGCAGAGCGAGGCAGAATCCTCGGACCCATGCTTGCCGCTACGAACTTCGGACCATGTTTCGGACCTATCATCGGTGGCGGTATCGTCTTAGCTACGGGGCAAACGCAGTGGGCTTTCTGGACGCTTGTCATCTTTGGCGCATCTTCTTTGATGCTGATCGGATGGACTATGCCCGAAACCGGAAGAAAGATCGTTGGCAATGGAGAGGTCTGTCCTCGCGCCTTGTGGAAGACATGGTGGTCTGTCATCAGGTCCAGCGGAAGACGAGAAAGACAGAACGACCACGAGTGCTCCAATGACGTATACTCCGAGAAGAGTGGTAAAGGCGTTTGGAGCTTTCCAAATCCGTTCTCCTCGGTGCGTCTCATTTTCTACGCTGACACGTTCCTCATCCTCTGGTCAGCAGGCTCCCCATACGCTGTGTGGTACTGTATCCAGGCCTCTATACCACTGATTTACGGTCAACGATACGGTTACAACCCATTAACCGTCAGTCTATGCTTCTTATCCGGAGGCGCAGGAGTCATCGTAGGCGGCTTCGTTGCAGGTCGTCTCATGGACTTCAACTACAAGAAGACGGCCGAATCATATGGTCTCCCATTAGACCGTGTATCTGGGGACGATATTCGAAATTTCCCCATTGAGGTCGCTCGTTCCCGTGGCTCGTATACGTTGCATGTGCTTTCCGTCGGCACTCTCATTGGCTATGGCTGGGCCATTGAGCGTGGTGCTCATGCCAGCATACCACTCATCTTGCAATTCTTTGTTGGTGTTAGATGTACCATCGTATTGCAGCTGTACAGCGCTTTGATGGTGGACATCTTTCCTGACAAAGCCGGTACTGCGGCGGCCTCGAACAACATCGTCCGGTGTACCCTGTCGGCCGTCGCAGTCGCGGTACTCCAGCCACTCAGGGATGCCATAGGAGACGGCTGGATATTCAGCTCTATTGGGCTGGTCGATGGCGTACTCGGCATGTGTGCAGCCGCAGTGTTGAGGAAGTGGGGGTGGAATTGGGGGAGAGCAAGAATTGGCCGCGACTGATGTAATTCGGATGCAAATGGCATGGTGCTGTCATTTGGTATCATGCGGCCAGATGAGTGAGGCGGTTGGTGAATCCGTGACGCGTCTGCACGTGCGCCATGACGCGCTAGAAGCTAGTAAACAAAGAAGGCCCGACTCGCCACGCAGCATCATTCCATGTGGAAGGCATTATCGGGAACTGAACAGCAACACTTGATACACAGAGTCTGAAACCGCGCGCTACCGGCTTTTGAACACCTTGTTAGCCACTATATATGTACCCAAGAACCAGATTAACGTGTGAGGACCACGAGACGTAACTTAGACTCCAAACTCCCAGGCATTAGATCAACGCAAACTCTTGGGCTTCGTCTTCTTTCCAGTTCACTGCCTCTGTATTCCACGGATCCATCCAGTCTTCCAGATAGCAAGTGCTGACAACCTCATACGCGTCTTTTTCAGGTATGTGTCGAAGCGCGACTGGATGCGAGCAGCCATGCAGAATGCAGATCAAGTCGCCTCTTTGAAGCCCGCTTCCTGTCGCGAGATGTCCATCTTGTGTAATATGCAACTGTCGCCCTTGCATGACAACTTTGATATATTCAGTTACGGTACGCTTTTCCATGTTGTGATCCTGGACCCAAGATTTGTATTCGGCAGGATATGTGGGATTTTTCACTCTGCTCGTTGCAAACCACCAGTATTTGATCTGGAGTTGGCTGGCAAATTTAGCGGTATCCTCCGGCTCGTACGTGCAGGGTCCACAATGCCCTTCCGCAAGAAGCGCCGGTAGTATGGACTCAAGCGCTGGTAAAGGTACGTCTGGATTATAATATCGAGAAGTCGTCCAGGCGGTTCTTATTCGCAGCAGCAAAGGCAGGTACGCTGTGTTGATGTCTTCTTCCGACGATGAGATTCTGTGGTCAACTTCTACGTCTACGGTAGCAACGACCCGACCATGTACCCACAGAGTGCGCTCATCGCATTTACCGTTCCATGAATACATCTCAGTTTGTGCGTTGGAGCTACGTAGCGCATGTAACGGCAAGAAAGGCACGACGAGACGGTGTGCGGTAAAGTTGGGAACCCAAGAGGGTATAGTCTTCGTTGTGGATGATCGTGGCAGAGTCTCGAAGATATCCAGGCTTTTGGTACCCTCGATGATGGAGCGTGCGGTTGCTACCAGGGCGGCCTGCAAAGAAGTCTCATAGGACGGTTTCAGACAAATCCGGTCATCTTGATTCATTCCAAAGAAAGCATAGAGTTGATCATGAACGCTGGAAGTTTTTGCTTCGGCACTCAACGTAGGCAGCACCTGGTCTAATGGAATCGGAGATTTGTTTGATGGCTTATGTCTCTCTGCCCATCGATCATGCATCTCTTTCAATACCCCATAACCGGACGGCGTAGACAGGTTGTCCGTTTCCAACTTCCATGCAGTCTTACACAGTTCCCAGAGGGTGGGGAGTACAACCGTTACGCGATTGAAGGGTGGGATCATGGAGTCTTGTAGGATGAATGCCGACTTTCGTGGCAGAACCACTTCTTGAAATACCCAAGCTCGAGAGAACCACGGGCTCTTCAGGATATTACCGCACAAACCCAAAAGGTCCTTTTGTTTACGCTTGCAATCGACCATATCACTGATAGTATGGTCGGCGTGCTGTTTACT